GTTTCACAGAGGAGGTAGCAAAGAAATTTGCTAAAAAAATAGTAATAATTCTCAAAAGAATGTTCTCTATCTAGACAATGTAGCATCTTAACTTCTACTCTCTGAAGGTACCCTGCTTCAAAACACAAATATACCAGGGAGGAGAGTATAGCTCAGTGGTAGAGTGTGTGCCTAGCATGCATGAGGTCCTGGGTTCAATCTCCAGTACCTCCATTAAATAAATAAATAAAATAAAACTAATTGCCTCCTCTCCTCTCCTCAAAAAATGCAAGTTTACCTGGAAAAGATAACATAGGACATTGCTTATTAGTCGTAGTAATTTTATATACATTCTCTACTGTATATTAAAAATGAATTTTTTTTTCATTATCAATCTCCTTTCTTTTTTAGCCTTAGGATAGTAGATATATTGCAAGAGCGGCCCACCATGCGTATGCAGTAGTTTCTGTGGTATGGAGTGATATATACAAATTTCTCTCATTACATGTAATTAAGAACCCCCAGTCATAAAACCTAAATGTTTTCCAATTGAATAGAAAGAAGATAGGAAAAAAAAAACTTGTCCTGCCCTTTCCCAATGGATGGATAGGATAGAGGGTGTTCTCAATCTGGGCATCTTCATTGCAAGTTAATTTAGAACTTCTAGAGTAATTCCTACTTTTACCCACACGGCAGACTTTCAGAAATGCTTGTAAAGATTTCTGGTTGTCACAACTGAGGGAAAGAGGGGAGGGTGCTACTGGCATCAAGTTGGTAGAGGCCAGGAATACTGCTAAACATAAAAGAATTGCCCAGCCCAACATGTCAAGAGTGCCGAGGGTGAGCTACCCTGGTCTAGAAATGCCTTGACCTGCCCACCAACCAGATGCAGAGACTAGAGAAAACAGAGGGAGCCAGCGCAAAACCTTTCATGGAACGTAAAAACAAATCCTTTAGGAACAAAGAAATTAAAAAAAAAAAAAACATTGAATAGAGGTAAATCAAAGGTCAGCAGGACAATATTATGTAATTTATTTTTTGATTCTTCCTTATTTGACTCAAGTTAAGAAGAATGGTAGTGTTGGTGATAATGATGATGGTTTCCAGGCACTGGCGTTTGCTTAGATTTTTTATTGAGATGTAATTGACATATAACATTATATTAGTCCTAGGGATACAAGGTAATGATTTGCTGTGAAACAATCACCACAGTCAGTCACCAAACATCGTTGCAGTTTTCTTTCCTATGATGAGAACTTTTAAGATCTTCTCTCATAGCAACTTTCAGAAAAGCAATACAGTATTATTAAAGGGTCACCATGTTGCACACTACATTCCTTTTTTATTTTTTAACTGAAAATTTGTAACTTTTGATCCCCTTCACCCATTTCACCCACCCATCACTCCCTGCCTCTCTGACAGTAAGATTCCACATGCAGCTGACCCTTGAACAACATAAGGGTTGGAGTGCCAACCATCCACACAGTGGAAAAGTCGAGTCTAATTTATGATCAGCTCGCTATATTCACAGCTCAGCGTCTACAGTTCAGCCAACCACAGATCGGGTAGTTCTGTAGTATATGCTATTTTTAAAGTCTGTGTAAATGGATCCACACGGTTCAAACCCATGTTGTTCAAGGGCCAACTATATATGGACTTCATGTATTATACCAGGTACTTCAGTCATAGGAAGTGCAAAGGAGCATAGAAAAGGAAATAGGGCCAAAAGGAGATCTTAAAGGCTGAATCTTTTCATCTTTCCTTTGGGCATCGAAATAACACTGTGGTTTAAGAGAGCAGACTGTGTGGCATCAGAAGTCCAGAGGTTAAAGACTGTCTTCTGCTGTGCTATAGCTCCAAGTCACTGGGAAAATTTACTGAGTTTCCCTAAGCCTTAGTTCCTTTATGTCTGAAATAGAGATAATAATAGTACTTATTTGATAGAGTCATTGTATGAATTCAAAGGAATAGCATTTGCAAAATATTTAGTTGTTTTTGACACATAAGCATTCAATAAGTGCTGTAATATAATAATAATGATGATTAGAAATTAATGATGAGAACAATGACAAGGACTATGAGGAAAATGACGACTGGCTTTCGATTCCATTTATGTAAGTTGCAGTCCTGGCTCTGTTACTCACCAATCATAAGACAGGTTGCTTTATTGAATCTCCATTTACACTTCTGTCCAAAGCCCTTGAGGTCACTGTAAGAACTTTATGACAGGTGTCTGGCGCATAGTAAGGGATCAGGATGGGTGCATCTGGCCTGAAAAACTGCACAGACATGCTCTCTTCTCTGGAAAGGGTTCATCTTTTCCTGTACCCTGATAGCTCCCCAGGGCTTCCTGCCTGTTAGTGAGACTTTCATCCAGGACGTTTCCTTAGATAAAAGGCTGAGTCAGAAAGAAAAGTCGGTCAGGTGGACTTCATCCACAAGTTAAGAAATGCTGGGGGGTCGGAAGCAGGGAGTCAGAAGTGAATCGGGGACAGGAGGTGGGAAGGGATAAATTTGGGAGTTTGAGATTTACAAACGTTAGCCACTATATATAAAAATAGATTTTTTTAAAAGGTTCTTCTGGGGACAGGGAACTAGGTTCGATATCTTGTAATAAGCTTTAATGAAAAAGAATATGAAAACAAATATATGTATGTATATGCGTGACTGGGACATTGTGCTGAACACCAGAAATTGACACATTGTAACTGACTGTACTTCAATTAGGAAAAAAAAAAGGAAAAAGAAGTGAATCAGAAACTCCTAAACAAGGTTAAAATAAGGAGGCTGACAGAGTTGTAGGGCTTGGCAATTCCTCCCACCACTCCCATCCTTGGGCTCTCCTAGCCGCTCCCTGGAGTGAGTTACAGCAAATCCTTAAAGCAGGTGACCCTGAGGGGTTGTCTGGAGAGAGCAGGGCACATGCGCCCCTCCACGGCACATCTTGGTGAGGGAAGGAAGGAGCCTGGGGACAGGAAGCTAAAAAGGGTGAAGTCACCTCTCCATGAGGACAGGGAGACAGAGCATCTGGAGCCAGTGCCCAGAAGAGGAAAAGAACAAGGGAGACTTCAGGGGGAAGGTCACTGGGGAGCCCCACTGAGGGATGAGAGAGGTAAACATCACCACGGCCAGGCTCTACCAGGTATGATCAACCAGATGGCAGTGACTCCCTGCAGCAGGACCCTTAGCTCCCAGACCCCGCTGCCACTCCTGTCTGAAATGAGTTTGGATTTAGAAGGCCACCCAAGAGCCAAGTGGGATGGATCCGGAGGGAAACCCACGGCTTCATCAGCGCACAAAAGCAGCTGACAAATTATGTTGTGATTTGTCATCATCTCAGAACTCGGCAAGTGCTTGTCCCTGAAGGAATCAATACTTGCAGGGAAAGGGGCTGTATTTTTAGAAACTCCTGCATGGGTAATTGATTTCAAGTGAGTGGAGAGTTTATTTATATTGGCGCCCCCGCAGAACCAAGGGGCAGTATATTTACACGAAGCCAGAAAATGCTATCGTTGCTTCTAATCCGTTCACCCCTGTGAGCAGCTGTTCCTTGAAGCTTTTGGTGATAAATTCACTCCTCCTACTAAAACCTCTACCCCGGGAACCATTTCCCATCCCACCTTTAGCAAGGCATGTTACACACTTCTCAAAACTTTTCCACATGATTCTGTCTTCCAGGGCACAGATGAGATGGGCCAGGGGCAGGGCGGGTGGTACTAGTCCCCTTCTACAGATGAGAAAACTGAGGCTCAAGAGTTGAATGTACTGTTAGCCAATGGGGGGTAGAATTAGAAAGCAAGATCTTCCCACCCCTAGTTGTGTTCACCACTCCCTCCCCACTGCCACCCCACCCTGCACTGGACTCTAAGAGATTATGCAACTGAAATACCTAATGACAGAGAAAAAGTAAAGAGTCAAGAATGTGTTTAAAATGCTTTGCTGCAAGAATGTTCACCCCGTGGGCAGTGTGCTGTACAATGCAGAACAGAGGGTCTGCAGTCAGAGTTGTATTTGAATCCCAGTCCTGGTATGACCATGGGCAGCCTACTTAACCCTTTGGAGTCACAGTTTACCCATCTCTAAAGAGGAGACAGTCCAAGTTCTTACTTCATAGAATAATTGTAGACCTGAAAATAAATAGTATTTGTAAAGTTCTTCTCACAACATCTGGCAGAAGTAAGAGTCCAGTAAATGCTACTTATTTTGTTTTGTTAGCTACTGTTTTCACTGCATTTTTGCAACAGCAAAACAGTTGAAACAGTGTCACTGTTCAGTAGTGAAATGATTAAATGAAATATGGTGGCATTCATGCAATGGGTTTCTATTAAGGTGTTGAAAAAGATGTAGAAAATTTTAATAACATGTATAAATGTTCAAGATATGTGAACATGAAATCTCATTTTTAAAATGCATTAATGTGTGTGTGGCCATACATAAATGTGTGTGTAGGTGTATGTATATATTTTTAAAACCCTGGAAGTACTATATACACAAGAATATTAACTGTGAATAGCTCTTGGTGGTGTGATTTAAAATCTCTGCTTTTTGATCATTTATTTCTGTGCTGCCCAGTGTGGTAGCCACTAGCCACATGTAGCTATTTATCTTGTTTTAGTTAAAATTAAATAAAATCTTAATAAAATTTAAAAATCTGTTCCTCAGTCGTACCACCATATTTCAGTCGCCACATGTCAGACGGTGCAGACTCCAAACATTTCCATCACTGCCATAAGTTCTACGGGGCAGAGTGGGTCTGGAGACGCACACCCCCACCTGCAGGAGAAACGTGGTCTGGGCAGGGCTCTCCCTCTGCTACGTGTCCCACTTTTCATTTGCATCTACTTTCTCCTCCTTAATGAGGGTTTAACTTTCTCTTCTGACACGCTACAACTGTCACCAGTGTGACAAAGCAGGGATGACCTTATTCACAATGGTTCTAACTATGATTAGCTATCCTGATGATCTGATTAAAATGAGATCCTTCTGACTTAATAACTCACAGCCTCCTGTCTCTCCCCCAGGAGGTGCAGTTCCAGCCGGAACGTTTCCACAACACCATCATCTGTGAGAAACCCAACAACCACCTCAACAGATTCAGGGGATATATGTAAGTAACGTCCGTGTGCGGCTAGTGAGTATCTCCTCTGCAGCTCGAAAACATTTTTTCTTGAAATGGCCAAACATAAATATCTGAGCCCAAAGAAATTTCCTTTTATCATAAAAAAAAAAAAGGGCTGGAGCAACCTAACTAAATTGGAAAAACTTGCTTTTTTTTTTTCCCCCTGGAGTGAAAGTTAATCATCTCACCGGGTTAAATTCACTAATAGTTTTTTCAGAACTTTGGGGAAACAACATCAAAATAAAGACCACACTCTGATTCAAGGAAAGTAAATATGATTGAATTTAGATCCGTTTTTTGAAAGTCTGTATTACATTATAGGGAAGAATGGGGACTTTGGAGTTTGAAAGACCTGGGTTTGAAACCAGGCTCTCTCACAAGCTGTGTGACCTTGAGTAAATTAATTAACCTCTCTGGGCCTTGGTTGCCACATCTGTTAAAAAAAAACACTGTAATAGCTACATCAGAGGATTTTTCTTTAAGAGTTGATCACATGCAGATCACAGAAACTGGCACAGAGTAAACAGTTACTGGGGCTACTGCTCTTGGCCATTATTGTTGTTACAGTCCCTGAACTTTGGTTCAGCCTGAGAATTATACCATAATTCTGCTCCCACGTCTGACTACTGGTCTTAGCACAGAAAAGACCGAAAAAGCGATGATAACAGATGTCGATAAACGCCCTTATCAGGGCTTTAACAGTTTTAGAGGACTTCGCAGATCATCTCATTTAATCTGCAGAACACAGGGAAGTGAGAACTATGATTCCCATTTTTCAGATGGGGGGTCTGATGATGTAAGGTGTCTCAAGATTCTCCCAAAGGCACACAACGGCTACAAGACAAAGCCAGGACTTCCATCCAGGTCTTTTCACTCCAACCCCTGTGCATTTTCCATCATCTGCACACAGAGTTCAGACATGTTAGGGCCTCTTCTCTGCCAGTCGGGCCTGCAGCGAGACTTAGGAAGGCTTCCTGGGAGGCAGATGTCTTTGTTTTCCCTCCATCCGTGTTTCCTTAGGCTGCATGGGATGTTATGAAGAGCAAGATAAGAGGGGAAAGGGTAAGAACAATACAAGATAAATAGCAGCTATTCAGGGCTTTTCAGAAAGCTCAGGGAAAGCAGATGGAGACTGCGGAGAAGGGCACGAGCCCCTGGGGGAGAGGAAGATTCATTGCCAGCATCTGGCTAGGTAGAGCTTGCCACCTGCCCCAGCAAAGAGCCCATCCCTCATGCCCAAGTTTTGTGGACTTGGTTCATCCCAAGACACCCCTGCCTGGAGCCATCCTCCTGCCTTCTTGAGAACAGCCTCACTGCTGGGTTTCTATTAATGGTCCTTTCCCCCTCAAACAGCTCATGCCAGCAGCCAGACTTTCTAAGTTTTATCCTGGGCTCTGTCCCCTCATCCCAGACAGAACTTTCCCAGCTCTGTTCCACCCCCAGCACCTCCTCTTCCTGCTTGCTGCCCCTAGAGACATCTTCCCCCATCTACCTGAGCCCAATAGATGAGCCCAAAAAGTCAGGTTGGTTCGCCCAGGAGCCGACCTGTGGGATGCTGGCCAATTTTCCACCGTGGTCCTACATCCCTGCCACAGCCCAGCACCCAGAGATGGTCTGCAGTCTCTTCCTGAGCAAACCCCTGGGTCTGATGCCTCCAGGTTTCCAGAAGCTTCTTTGGGTCCCCTTAATTTAGGCTACCCAGGCTAGCTAGAAAATGAACAGCTTTTCATTCTCTGGAGAGTACTGATGTCAGATTTGAAAATACAACTTGGAAACAGTAAGATCTCTACAGAGCAGTGGTTCTCAAACCCTCTCCCCACCTCTCTATCAGAGGACCTTTGCAGTGTCTGGAGACCCTTCTGGTTGTCACAGCTGCGGAGGGATGCTGCTGGCATCTAGTGTGTAGAGGTCAAAGATGCTGCTCGGCACCCTACAAGGCACAGAGCAGCCCCCTCAACAAAGAATGATCCCGCCCCAGTTGTCATTACTGCTGAAGTTGAGAACTCCTGCTCTCGAGTCAGTTACATGAAGCATCCCTGCATTACTGCCGAAGTTGAGAACTCCTGCTCTCGAGTCAGTTACATGAAGCATCCCTGCAAACGGAGCACTCGATAGAAGAGCTGTGAGGTCGCTAATCCCTCATCCCATCCACTGAGAAAGGGGCAGTGTGACCCGGAGAAGTAGAACCCGCTGTCATTCGTTATCGCCTCAGGGCATCGTAACAATGCTCTTTAAACCACTAGCTACTGACAGTGAGTCAGTCATGATTCTGTCCCAGTATCCTATCCATAGCCAGCTCCCTCTGTGTTTGGTGGGGGAGGGGGTCTTAAACTTCAGCCATTCTTGAACCACCTTTATGATTTGTATCATATTCATAAAACATGTATACTTTCCAGATTTTGAACTGGCTTTTTTTTTCTTAATTTATTGCAAAGGGAAAATTTATGTCACTGGCACTATGAACAACCAGTATCACTGCTGTAAATAAATGATTTATGGCTTTGTCACTTTCCATATATAAATTTTATAACAGGTAAGATTAATAGAATGAAATCAAAACAGTTATCATTATATTCGAACTGCAGGCTATTACTTGCCAAAGCCGCCTCTGTGTTGAAAAGCTAGATAAGTAAGTGCTAGAAAAGGGTTAATGAAATACTAAGACATTTCCTTGTTAGAGTCAAAAGAGTTGCAACTGGAAATGACTCTGATTCAATGTAAGTTGAGGGGAGTGACTTTGGGAACCCTAGTGTAGTGGAAACCACAGGAGAGTTGGTGTCGGTGCCCTGGGTTCCTGAGTCCGAGAGTAACCCATGGACTAGCTGTGGAAAACTCTCTCACCCTCTCTGAGCTTTGTCTTTCTCATGAGTAAGGATAATCACCCTGCTACCTTCCCAGAGCCATGAAGAATCAAATAAAATAATGTAAGTAAATGTAGTTTATAAACACAATAAAGATTTATTATTAAAAGGCACATGGAGAGGCAGTAATGCACTCAGGAGCCAGGCTTCCTAGGTTTGAATCCCCTTTCTGCTACACAGTAGCTCTATGAACTTGCCTCAATTTTCCTATCTATAAAATGGGTATGAAACATGACCTATCTTATAAGGTCGTCATGACCATTAATTGAGTTGATGCACAGAAAACATTTACAACTGGACCTAGAGGAATAAACTATTGAAGAACCAGAAAGAGAAAAATCCCAAAGGTTCAGATTTATTAATTTTTTTTTCTGTTCTCCCCAGTGTTACAGGAAAGTTACATTCAAACTTCCTGAAAATCCCAAAGGGAGAGCATCAGGGTAGAGTAAGGGCCAGACGCCAAGCCATCACTGGTGTGGGGGACTCAGGAGCTTTTTTGTGGGGTGGAAGACTGAAGTGCTTCCTGAGGCTAGAGAAGGAAAAACTCTGAGAATCTTCTTTCAGAAACTGCCTCCTGTTGGGGAGGGTGTAGCTCAGTGGTAGAGTGCATGCTCAGCAGACATGAGGTCCTGGGTTCAATCCCCAGCACCTCCATTAACAATAAATAAATAAGTTAACTTAATTACCTCCCCCTCACCCCCCGCCAAAAAAAAGCTGCTTCCCAGGATATCGATCAAGGGCCACTGGCCCACCTCCTGTGAGGTCTGTTTATTTTACAAGGGGTGGAGCAGGAGGAGGATAGCTCAGGAGAGAGGCCAAGAGAAGGATGTGACTCAGGAGAGGAGCCTGCGAGCTGCCCTCCCTCGCAGTCTCATGTTACGAGAGGCAGGACTGTCCCGCGTCTTCTGTGGACGTGGATGTTTAGCGTGTGCGGGTCTAGACCCAGCAGCTGGGTGAGAGTCAGCCTGTGAACACGGCCTGAAGGGAGCATAGCGCCCGTCCTTACAGGGCCAGAAGCCAGTTCCTCCACACTTTGCCTTTTAGGTGGGTAAGTGATTCCATCCTTGGGGATGGGTAATTCCCCTCTAATGGTCCAGCCCCCACCCCCAGTCCCAGGAGCACTGAAGAGTTGCACTTGAACATGGAGACTAGAGTCCAAGTTAATACCATTCTTCAAAAGAGGAGGAAGAGGGTTTCTGTTCACTCACCTAATAATTCTGTGACACTAACCAGTGAGAGAGTGGTGAGGCCACCAATCGCTCCCTGTCTTTCCTCATCTCCAGGGAGCATCCTGACCAGACCAGGACCGGCTTCGGCAGTGAGAGTCTTCTGCTTCGAGGCTGCACCATCAGAAACACCGAAGTGGCTGTTGGCATTGTCATCTATGCAGGTCATTGTCCCTGGACAGCTTCTTGTGTCCCGGTCCTTTATCCTCCCTCCTCCAAATCTGTCTTCAGGGACTGCCCTGCAGGATGTTGAGCAGTATCCCTGGCTGCTTCCCGCTAGATACCATTAGCATCGCCTCCTCAAAGGGGACAGCCGAAACTTTCTCAAGACTTCGCCAGGTGTCCCCTGGGGAGTCAAGTCCCATGGTTGAGAGCGGCTGGTCTAGAGACTCAGACTCAAAGACCCGAAAGGCCAGGCTGAGCTTTCCAGGAGGGAGAGATTCAGCATGGAGGTACGTGCTCCCCACAGCAAACATTTATTGAGCCCTGACTGTGTACCAGGAACTGATTTAGGTACTTGGTGTATATCAGTTCACTCCCCCACCCCAAAGCCCACAGCCGTCATACCCCATTTTGCAGATGAGGAACTGAGGTACAAAGGGATGAATTTCCCCAAGGTCAGGAGTCTCCTGAGATTAATTCCGTGTAACCCAGGGTCAAGTACCTGCAGAGCCAAGCTCTTCCTGCCGCTAGAGCCCATGTTTTATCTGCTACAATCTACTGCCTCCCCTTTGAGCCCAAATTTTACCAAAATAACAGAGGATGTCAGGAAGTGAGGAGCAGGTGGGCGAGGAGGTAGTCCCAGGACCCCTTACACGGGGTGAGCCTGGGGCAGGCAGGAAGCTGACAGCTGTGTAACCCGCCTCATGACAGCAGCGACTTGAGTCTGACTTAATAAGCTAGAGTGTGCTCACTCCTATGGTTTGTTGTCACTTGAAATCCACAAGGCAACCAGCTAAACGCCATCAAACCACTCACTGCTGGAGCTGATATATTGGTTTTCTTTAATTTTGCACAGAAAGTATGTAAATGGTGTCTTGATTTGACTGCTAAGGGGTACAGCATGGTAATTAAAATTTAGCAGCCTAAAAGAACAGACTTTATCGAAAGACAAAGGCTGAGTTTGACTCTTAGCTGCATGGCTTGGGCACCTGGGGTTGATGGAAGGGGAAATAGACTTGGAGTCAGAATCCTGGGTCCTTCGTATGGCTCTGGTGTTAATTTATTCTTTCACTTGGAGCAGGTCCCTTCTACGCTTTGGTCTTGAGTTTCTCCCCCTGGAAAAAGAGCTGACTGAATGAGATCAGTAGTTCTAAAATTTTATTTTCCTTTCTTTGGACAAAATTTTATGCAGAACTTCAAGATAGGAGGGGAGCTGCCCAGAGTTAATGCTGGGGTGGAGGCCTTTGGCCCCTACCACTCTTGCACAAGCAACACCAACACCTTAGGTGAAGAAGTGAGCATGAATATTACTGGCTTTCAAGTACTATCCTGCCACAGGACCTTGGCATGTACTGTTCCCCAGCCTAAAGCCAATTTCTCCCAACTCTTCTGTCTCCCTTAAATGTCACCTCCTCTGAGAAGCCTTCCCTGACTACCCTCTCTAACATCATCTTTTCTTTATTAGCCCCTTGTTTATTGTCTACTTCATGGCACTTTTAACTAACTGTAATTATCTTCTTTATTTGTTTCCTTCTCTAGTTTTCACCAGCATGTGAGTCATCTGTCTTATGCCTGTATCCCACCAGCAGCCCATAATAGCATCTTTGTGCAAATTAGAAAAAGATGTCTTCCTTGAGACAGCTTCCTGACACTTGCCAGAAATGTGTCCTAAGAGATAAATCTATGACAACTACAACACGAGGGCTACCTCTAGAGTTGTGCAGTGCACAACCTACATAGTAGTTCCATCCATGCCCACCAGGGTCCAGCACTGGGGGGTGAGGCATGTGTTCAGTAAAAACCCGCTGACAAATTGTGTGATGTCCCTACAGCTGGTCTCAGAACCTCCCTGCAGCAGGACACACTCAGGTTAGAGAATGAAGGCTTTCTGGTACTGAAGTCTCCAGCGAGGAGAGCCGAGGGTATGATTCAGGCCAGAGGCAATCAGGGGCCAAGGTGAGGATCCTGTTTTCTTTCACAGGCCACGAGACAAAAGCCATGCTGAACAACAGCGGCCCTCGGTACAAACGCAGCAAGATCGAGCGGCGCATGAACACGGACATCTTCTTCTGCATCGGGCTCCTCTTCCTCATGTGCCTCATCGGGGCCATAGGTATGGCACGTTCTGGAAAGAACAACCCCACGTCATCGTTTCTTTGGGCGAGCTGCTTTGACTCAGAGTCCCCATTTCCTCATCCACAAAACGGGGTTCATTAAAAAAAAAGCAAGCCTATTCTGTGCTGTAACAGGATGCCAATTAAGTCAAAATGCAGGTGAAAGGCTCTTCACAGGATTATGTGCTCCAAATATTAGAAGGAGCACCCTTGATGTATTTGTCCTGCAAATACTTCCTGAACTCGGGCGCTCCCGTACCGTGAGAGGGTGACAGGATGACGCAGTCTCAGGACCGGTCCTCAAAGACTCATCATCCTGCAGAAAGAAGCCCAACTCAAGCCAGAATCAGAAACACGGTCTGTCCCACTCAAGGTGGGCTGCACACAGGGACTGTATCCGTTTGCTATTGCTGCTGTAGAAAGTTAACACGAACTTAGTGTTTAAAACAACGCTGGTTTGCACTGTTACAGCTCTGGCGTTGTGAAGTCCAAAATCAATTTCACTGGGTTAAGACCACGGTGTCCATAGGGCTGGCTCCCTTCTGGAGACTCTGAGAGGAGAGCTGGTCGCTTGTCTTTTTCAGTTTCTATTGGCCGTCTAGATTCCTTGGTTTGAAGCACTTTCCTTCGTCATCAAAGCACGTTACCCAATTTCCCCCCACATTTCCTTCTCCTTGTCTGTGGTGGTATCTCCCTCTGCCTCTCTTTTATAAGGACACTTGTCACTCCATCGTTGGGCCCACCTGGATAATCCAGGCTCCTCCTCCCCATGTCAAGATCCTTAACGTAATCATGCTTTGCCATCTAAATTAGCATACTCGCAGGGCTCCGGGATGAGGACGGGGACTCCTGGCGGGGGAGCATTATTCAGCCTACGACTGCATTACAGGAGCATCAGAGAAGGTAGTCTCACTAGAGCTGATTCCCAGATGCAGGAGGCGTCCACCAAAGGAGGGAGGTGGCAGGGCAGGCTGGGGCGGGCGGCTGTGAGAAGGAAGCGAGAGGTCACTCCTAGCCCTGGGGACAGCACAAGCAAAGCACAGCAATAGGAAGGAGCATCCTTTTATGCAGAGGAATGTTCGACTGTTTGGTGTGGCCAGAGCAACGCCAAGGATGGAACCCTGGTGAGAACCAGGTTGTGGCCGAGGTCTGCAACTGCTGGCTGTAGAGAGCTCCAGGAGGTGTAGACCCATGTGACCCACAGCCATTTAAGTCGCTCTTCAGAGGGGAGACAAAGAAGGGCCCTTGCTCTTACCCACTCCACTCTCTACGTCTTAACTCTAAGGATGGTTCTTAGGACCCTAGAGGAGACCCCAAAAAGGATCAGGGAGGATCCAGAGGAAGAACTCGTATGCAGAGTCCAGGACCCGCACCCCTCCGCTGACCCCACACGGACGAGCAGCGATGGTGTTCGCTCTTCACTCACTTTCATCAGAAATTGTGCCCATCACTGATTTTAACAGACGATGTCTGACATCCCGAGGTCGTCCCAGGACGCATGGAGATCTCGTGCGGTGAAGATCACTCTTCACCACAGTGAAGTCAGGTGGTGGGGATTTAGTCTTATGCGTGGCCTGGAGCTTTTTTAATGACAGCACTTCCCAGATGTGTCTAACGGCTCTCCGTGTGGGGGGCTGGCGTCAGGACAGGTTTTTCAGAGAACGTCAGACCTGGAAAGGACATATGAGATCATCTCACTGTGTCTCCCGAGAAAGGAAGTTAATGATGAAAAGGTCACACGGTGAGATGAGATACATGCGAACCAGAGTCAGCTTGGCCGAGTGCCCCAAATAGTAAGTAAACTGAGAGAGTAATGGAGAGGGGCAGGACTCTGTTCTCTCTGAGAATAACAACTCATACAGAGTGGCAGGCCTCTGCTGGCGCCTAATTTAAGTACAGCTCCTGCAGGCGGTGAAAGCTCTTGAATGAGCACCATTCTGGGGTTATTTATCACACATTTACTTTAATGGTGTAAAGTGGTGTTTCTTTTTTAATTCCCTTGAAAGTGCCCCCCTCAACCTTTCTTACCACCCAGGACCCACCTGGGCTGCAGGGCCTTGCCTGGCCTCCTCCTCCACGCAGCCTTCTCTGATTTCTCTCCTGGTCTATCTTCTGAAAGCCAGTGATCCTTACTGCGTGCCTTATATTTGGCCCTTAACCTCACGTCTAGGAGTCTGCTTTCTTCTGCCATGTCTGATGGTATTTGGCCCGATCTGCTGGGCAAGGAAGCATCCTAGGGGCTGGGCAGCATCCGCTGTGCCTTTTGTTCCCTACAGTTGCTACCCTGGGGCTAAGGGCATCATACACATCAGGGTATTCTGTTCTCACAGTAACTCCATGGAGAAGGCATTGTAACTAATTGACAAATGAGGATACTGAGGTTCAGAGAGCTCGGAAGCAGGTGCCAGGCACACTTCACCTGATCAGTTCTCCCATGATGGGGGTGGTCATCCCCATTTGCAGATAAGGAAACAGAGGGTTCTGTCTGCATCCAGTGCTGCTGTCACAAAATCTTAGAGCATTCCAGGATCTGGCATAGCACCCCTCACACTGTGGGATTTGTGTCTTTTCGTCTGGCTCCCTGACTTAGTAGGTAGCTCCTCAAAGACAAGAACTAGGACCAACTCCTTCTCGAATTAATAAATTTGGGGTAAAAGGAGGATAGGAAGGAGGCAGGAAGGAGTGGGTGAACAGAGATATGGATGGATGGATGGATGGATGGATGGATGGATGGATGGATACATGCATGGGAGAAAAAGAGGGGCTAGGGTACAGATCCATCAAGACTTCTCAGCTATGTACTTTCTACTACACAACTAGAAAAAAAAAAAACTACATGCCCCTTTCTCTCTTTCCAACCTCTGTATAACAGGGCTTCAACAAAATGTAAGTAATCCTCATGCTCGTCTCCTCTGGGAGGAGAGACTTAATGTCTATCAAGAGATTGAAATACAGGGTAGATGAAGGACCACTTTAGAGCTAAATGAACACACACACACACCCCTATGTTATGTAGAATAAGGATGAGTTTCTCCAAAGCATGCTCTTTTCCAGGAATAAGGCAAGGAAGGGCTGATGTAATTGACCAGTTTGGGATTAAGTGGAGATTTTGCCTCATCGCTGGCTTTGCCTCCTCTAGGTCACGGCCTCTGGAATGGGACCTTTGCAGAACACCCTCCCTTCGATGTACCAGATGCCAAGGGCAACTTCCTTCCCCTGGCCCTCGGGGGCTTCTACATGTTCCTCACGATGATTATCCTGCTCCAGGTAGGAGGCCCTCCTGAACTCGGGGCTCAAAAGACCTGTGGCCAATATCTGTACAACTCTGCAAAAGAAAAGAAAAAAAGAAAAAGAAAAGTCAGTGCTGAGCCCAAGAAAGAACTGACTGGACTGAGATGGGGAAATGTGGATTGCTTTCTTATGGGTCTTGGAAAGTATTCACCTCGGGGGTGATGTCAGGACCAGCCCTGCCTCGTGGAGGGGACCTTGGCCCCAGATAATAGCAGAGAGAAATATTTATCAGGCTTTTCTCTCCAAGAATAAGACTGCAGCCGTAAGCCATGTGTCCCTGTCCCTTTGCCAGCTATAGAACAGGTAAAACCCTCATGACCTGGGGACAACAAAAGATAACACAGCACAGAGAACTGCAGAGAACTTTCAAGCCTCAAGCACTGAGAGAAGGGAACTCCAGGTTAGTGTTCTCCCATTTGATAGATGGAGGGAAAAACCAAAAACACGGAGCACCTACAAGGGAGGTAAGGAAGGCACCTCCTACAGGTAAACACCTACAAGGTGCAGGCGGGTATAAAGAGATGAAGAAAAAAAAAACCTTCAGGCCCTGTAAGAAATTACAGTCTTTGAAAAGACAAGGGGGAGTTGTGGTTTTGCTTTGCTGAAACCCATCTAAGGTTGAGTTCTTACATTATTGAGGGTGTCACGTTGTCCTCTTACTGGTGAACCTTTTTCACTCATTAGTTCTCTTGCTCACTGAGCAGAGTAATCTTTTTAAAATGTGAGTCGGGTCATGGCCCTCCTCTGCACTGAACCCTCTGATGGGATCACAATCAAAGTGAAATCCAAAGTTCTTACCGCAATCAGCAAGGCCCTGAATGATCCAAACCCTGCCTCCCTCCTGGCCAGCATCTGGGAGCTGTCCCCACTCAGTCACACGCAACCCTGCTGACTCCTACCCACCCTCAAACACCCAGCCTGCGGTGCCCGGAATGCTCCTCCTCCCGCAGATAACCTCACGCTCACACCCTCATTTCTTCAGGTCTCTGTGCAAAGGTCGTGGTTTATGAAAGAGTCCCTCCCCGCCTTCACCCTCTACCCTCTTTTCTTTATTCTTTCACATGAGATTTAACCACCACCAGATACATGTTACTTTGTTTACTGAAATGCGAGGTCTTCAAGGCTGGGGGTTTTGTTCCACTCACTGCTGTTTGCAGCACCTAGAACAGCACATGACACACAGCAAATGCTCATCAGACACACGGTATCGGATGGGTGGGCCATGGTCCACAATGGGTCGGAAAGTCTGTCAAAGTGAGCGGCAGTCCTTGGTGGCACAGAGATCCAAGGGGCATCAGGAGACTCAGACAGAGGCCCCCAGAGCCCCTCACACACTTCCTGCTCAGTCAATAAACAGCCAACGGTGAGTGCCTCTCCCATGCCAGACATCCCTGACTGAAGAAGCCTTATCACTTTTTCAGATTCCCCTAAGAATCCCAAGAGAGGCACGAGGTCACTTCGATTTCTCAGGAAAGTCCATGATGTAATCTGACCTCAGCTTTGCATGAGATGCCTTTGCTCCCCACCCCCCACCCTCACTCAGTGAGGGTCCTGAGGTGAGGAACCAGCCTGGCTGCTGACACGGTGGGAATCCATCTCCCCACAGGTGCTGATCCCAATCTCCCTGTACGTGTCCATCGAGCTGGTGAAGCTCGGGCAAGTCTTCTTGCTGCACAATGACCTCGACCTGTATGATGAAGACACCGATTTGTCCATTCAATGTCGCGCCCTCAACATCACTGAGGACTTGGGCCAGATCCAGTACATCTTCTCAGACAAGACGGGGACGCTGACCGAGAACAAGATGGTGTTCCGGCGCTGCACCATCACGGGCAGCGAGTATTCTCACCAAGAGAATGGTGCGAGGGCTTCCGGGGGCCCCATCCCTCTTCTAAAGGAACGGCCCCTGTCCTCCTAAGAGAATGGTGACAAAAGCCATCATTCCGGCTCCCTGCAGAGCTGGGTGGCTCTGCGAGCGGGAGCTTCCCGCATCCCCATGGACTTCCTCGTCACAGATCAGCGCTGTCCTCATCACTGGGAAACTTCCACTTGTTCACAGGGGCAATCACCGATCTCCTGTGTGCTAGCCCTCTGGCCTGTCGACCTTTGTCTGGGGCCATTTACACACACGATTTTTATCTGTCAGGAGTGCGCTGGGGACATGTCCCAGTTATGCACCAGTAATGCAGGCAAACTTGAAGAATTTCTCAGGTCACCTTACCGGACAGGACAGGCCTCGGGCTGGGCGCGTGGTCAGACATGGTACATCCAGGAAATGCCCTCCACGCTGACTGATCCCGGAGGTTTCCACGGAGGCAAAGCTTTTAAGCTTGGGAGATACGGCTGTAAAATGCCTGGGGACTGTCATTATGCGTGCACTGACGGTGGCCTGTAAAGCTGGCCTGATTGCATCAGCTCCCTCCCTGACCACACACACACACACACACACACACACACACACACACACACACACTCCCTAACTAGGAGAAGAAACTCAGAGCAGCAGCCTCCTCTTGAGTGACAGGGGTGGACAAAGCGAAGGGAGGGGATATCACAGGCCGCAGCCCAGTCTCCTTTGCCACAGTGGTGACCATTTACATGGGAGCTTCCCATCTCTTTTTAGCAATAACAACAGCTCCCATCAGCAGGGCTCAGAGTATGCTGATCACCTGAACACATTATATCAGTAAGTCTTCAAGCCTAGAGCCCCTGATGGAGGAAATGGAGGCACAGATTAGGCAAAGCTCAAGGTCACATACCTGGGAGGCAGGAGAGGCAGGATTTGAACCCGTGTGACTTAGTGTCACCTCTTGCTCCAGTCAGAGGAGCCAGCTGCCCGTTTCCCAGAGCAGCACAGTGCCCTTACTCCACCCCGCAGCCTGGCATCGCCCACCCCCCGCCCACGGTGCAGCCAGGGTAGGACTGGTGCCATAACAGGACTCCTTTCTTGCAGCCAAGCGACTGGAGACCCCAAAGGAGCTGGACTCCGACAGTGAAGAGTGGACCCAGTACCAAGGTCTGTCCTTCCCAGCCTGCTGGGACCAGGGCCCAGCGACAGTGAGGGACCGAGGAGGGTCCCAGCCTCTGAGGAGGAGCCAGAGTGCCCGGGTGCCCATCCAGGGCCACTCGCGCCAAAGGTCCGTGGGACGCTGTGAAATCTCCCCGCCCCCTGTGGCCTTCAGCAGTGCTATAGTAAGTCCCTGCCTTTTCCCCTTGGGATGTAAGTGATGTCTCTCGGGGAGAGTTGGGAGAGGGCTCTGGGGTGTGAAAGAGAAAAGGCTATAAATCCTGAAGGGCTGTCACAACGAGCTGTCTCCAGGGCCTGGATGTCACCATCCTGCCCTGGCTGCCATGATTAAAAGCAGGTTCCGACTAAGTTTATTCAGACACAGTAAGGAATTTGATGCATGGAGTAAGACCCAATTCTTCCTTGCGCAGGCAGGCGAGGATGGTGGCGTGTGCTCTTTGTGAGCTGTTGGATGTGCCGATCCCGTCAGGGTGAAGACCTGGGGTTAGTGGGGCAGCAGCCTCCCGGCTATCTGTTGGAGAGAGGACTGGGCCAAGGGTCAGGAAGCGTAGGCCCTGGCTTCAGCTCTGCTCCTGTCTTGCTGAGAAACCTTAAGAACAAGTTAAACCTCTTTCTATCCCTGTTTCATCACCTGAAAAGCCTTTGCTTCCACCTCTCTCTGGCTGTTCTGAAAGGCGAGGAATATGATGCTGGTGCTGACCTGCAAGGTCCCTGCCAGCTATGAATTAGGCACTTGGGGGGTCCGGTGCCCCAGGGTTTCATCTCCGCGCCAGCGGGTATCAGCCCTGTGACTTCAGTCAGCTTCCTGAGCTGGAAGCCTCAATGTTCCCATCTTGAAAAAGGGTGACTGTTATGCCTCGTGAGTTGATCCTGAGGACTTAATTCTGAAAATCCTGTGTCCCAGACAGATGGATAACTAACAGAAGTTTTCGGTGATCTTTCTAGAGGAAAGCTGTCTACCTTGGTCAAATGCTCACATGACTGATGACAGGGAGGGGAAATGTGAGTTTTCATAAAATATAATGTCGAGCCCTCTCCCCGGAGAGGCTGGTATATTTGGTCCTGGGCAGGGCCTACGCATTTGTGTTTTTATTTCTGATAATTCTAGTGAGCAACCAAGATTGAGAGCCTCTCCAAGCATCACATCACCCCACTTGGAAGTGGTCCTTATTTGGCTCAAACAGGCACCTGCTACAGCTTGGGAGGTACTGGCTAAAGGCGGTGATTTCTGCGGCCTTAAAGGGCTCTGACACTAACCTACGAAACATCTGTGGCTGGAGTGGCAGATCCTGGAATGAGTCCGTAGAGAAGGCCTGTGGCAGCCCCAGGTGGACGCCTGGGCTCCCGCCCCCACCCACTCTCGGCAGGCTCTCCGTGTTGCCTCCTCTTCCACCCGCACATCTGGCACCCAGTCTGCTAAGCTAGTCTGTCGGCTGCACCAGTCCTTCCCCTCCCCCTTGTAAACTCAGCCAGAACTTGGCCTCTGAAACCTCAGGGGTGCCAGGTCATGGCAGAGTGCCCGACCACACTCCAAACAAGCTCGTTGTTGGCTTCCTTGGCCCTTTGCTCTAAACCAAAACTAAAATGAGCATCAGCAGTAACCACCACTGCCACAAAAGCTGGCTTTTTCCTTCACTACCAAGAGAGAGGAATCATCAGGTATTGTTGCCTAACCGGCTGCTGTAAAATCTGTGGCTTTAGGTTGGGTAATAGACTTACGAAGTGGTGAGTTCTGAGCCAGCGTTTAATAGTACCAGCAGATGGAAAATGAAATGCCTTCCCCCACCCCCCCAGTCCCTAAGTAGCCAAGATTGGAGTAGAGAGTCTTTGCTTAGAAGTGCCACTTGCAAACATGTTTTCCAGAATCAACAGACCATAAAGAATATCTTCCTAATCGTAACGTTTGCATTAGGCTCCAGACTGTACCATGGCCCCGCCCCCACTGTGTGGAAAGAGTGCAGAAGAGAGAAGTACAGGGGGCGTCTTTGGCCCTCTGCCTCCCCTCCTGAAACTCGGCCTTCCTTTCTTGCATTGGACCTGGTTTCTGCTCCGGGTTGGCGGGGGCAGGCCGCAGGCACACACTCCCACGGCGAGGCGCGCTAAGTGTCCTGATTTAAGCTGCCAAGCACACAGCGCCTTTTTGGCAGTGATGTGAGGGCAAGAAACAGATGAAGCCCGTCTCAGCGTTGCTTCCCTTGGCTCCCAGGGTCCCCACGGGGGTCGCACAGCTGCAGCGACCCTGTTCACAAGAACGGGGTCTTGCAAGACCTGGCAAACCCCCTTCCTGCTAGGCCGCTGCGCTGCTTCCCTTGAGGCTTATGTCCCGCGTGAGAAAAGCTTACCTTTAACATTCCCTGTGCTTCTATTTAAGCAACTCGTTACTGACATGGGGCTCTCCCCGTTCTTGAACCAAACTCAGTATCATCAAGGCCACAACTTCAGCGAGGCCAAAAACGTCACTGCCCTAAGTTTTTCAGGTATATTTCAGTACGTTTCATCGTTTAGCTCTCTAGCAACCGGGAAAATTTATTTCCACAATAGTGATGCAGCCACATGGCTCAGTATTCAAAAGGAACCAAAGGGCAAATGGAAGAGAGGAAGTCCTGTGTCCCCCACCACCTCAGAGACAGCCATTACTCACAGTTTCCTGGGTCCTTACCGGAGGGCCAGTGTCTACACTGAATCCTGCGGTGGGCGATGCACATAAGCACATCCCTTCCCACAAACAGAAACATGCCAAACGCACTCTTTTGGACTTTGGAAATTTTTTTTTATTGAAGTGTATAGTTGATTTATAATGTTGTGTTAGTTTCTGGTGTATAGCATCATGATTCAGTTATATTTATATATATATATATTATTTTTTATAGTCTTTATCATTATAGGTTATTACAAGATAGTGAATGTAGTTCCCTGTGCTGTATAAGTAGGTCCTGGTAGTTTGTATCTGCTAATCCCAAACTCCTAGTTTATCCCTCCCCCATCCTTTCTGCTTTGAAACCGTAAGTTTGTTTTCCACTTCTGTGAGTCTTTCTGTTTTGTAAATAAGTTCATTGGACTTTTCGTTTAACATAATGAATCTTGGGGACTATTTTATACATGTAGAGAGACAGACAGATACTCCGTGGAGAGCTGCCTTGTCCCTTTTTCAGTGGCTTTGAGGATTTGTTGGGTGGTTGAGCCATCATCTGTTTATATCCGTGTGTAAGTTTTTCTACAGCATTCTTAGAGCATAATTGCTAAATTGGGAGTGTGTGCATTTTTTTTTAATTTTGACTTATACTTCCCAAGTAGTTGTACCAGCTTAGACATGCCCCAACAGCAGATAGGAGGGTCCGCTTCCTGCCTCCTCTGCCAAGTCTGTGTATCCTCAGTATCCACATTTCTTTAGAACAGGCTTTCATTTATTGTCAGGCAGCCAGCAAACACTAAGCAAGCATCCGCAACATGGCAGGTACTGTTCTAAAGGCTGGGGACGTAACATCTAATGGAGCCTTCTCCCTGATTGCAGGTGCTTACAGCCCAGGGAAGGGGCAGAAAGAGCCCCACTGACTGCAGGCAAGCACTCTCAGTGCTGGGGTGGGTGGCTGGGAGCCCAGAGGTGCACCTGCGTCAAACTAGGCATCAGGGGGGACTTCCTGGAAGAGTTTGCACCTGAGCTGAATTTGAGGCATACTAAAAGTTAACAAGAGCAAAGAGAAGAGATCGTCTAACGGGGAGAGGGCAGGTGGTTGTAGGGGAGACAGTCCGCCCAGGCAGATGGAGAACTGGGGTTCTGAAGAGTAGCTGGGGAAGAAAAGGCACAGCTCGGAGAGAGGTGAAGGGAGAGATGGGGGCATGGGAGGAGCCAAGCCACAGAGTTTGCCTCCAGGCGTGAGCACCAGGGTTCCTGTTAATTTCCACCCCTGGCTCTGTGGGTTCCCATAGCAACAACCTGCTGCCCCCAGTCAGTGATGGTCACCAACGTGGTAAAAACTAGAGGAGAGCAGCAGATCGCAGCTCGGCCGGCTGGTCCCAGCCTCCAGCGTGGAACGCTCCCCAGCCAGGAGGTGAGCGGGAGCGACAGGGCAAGAGCCCAGAGCCTGGCTACTCAAACTCTGGTCCTTGGACCAGCAGCAGGTGCACCACGTGGGAGCTTATGGAAATGCAGGTGCTCCGGCCCTACTCCAGACCGGCTGAATCCGCGTCTGCACTTAAATGAGATGCCCCATTGATTTGTGCACATGTTAGAGTTTGGGAGGTGCCAGTATAGCGTTGAAGGGTTTCAGTTTGGGCATCAGGCAGAACTGGACTCAAGACCCAGCTCTTTGACTTTGTGACCTCGGACAAGTTACGTATCTTCTGTGAGCCTCGTTTCCCTCATAAATAAAATGGGAGAGTGATAGTAGCTGTTTTATTGCTGTTATAATGATTAAATGATGTACATGCAAGCACTTAGCAAAGCACCTGGCTTTGCTATAGATTGTCAATAAATATTATCTAATGATAAGAGGTTCTTTGAGGGTGTGGTGTGAGGTCAGAGAGCGCCTTCCTCAGAGAGGGTTTGCATGAGCTTTAGGTGTTCAGCAACAGAAAGAAACCCAACCAGTGGGGTGCTTGGCTGCCACAAAGCTCTGGTCTGAACAGCTAGTGGTCCCACAGAGAAACAGACTAGCGGAAGGTCCCAGAGGTGGGTGGAGGCGCTGCTCTCCCTCTAGGAGTCCTACATGCCAAGCTCCTAAGTGTTAATGAACCGGACAGGAACCCCACGGGCTGTGGGCAGAGGGAGCCAGGGAGAACCTTGCCCTGCAGACACAAGTCTGCGAGCCCAGGGAAAGCTCCCCTGACGTCTGCCACTGACACCTGCAGGCTGGGCCTGCTGCCAGCGCCAGGGAGAAGTTGGCCTCTGCAGAACTTTTCTTTAATGCATTACCGTAGGACTGGGTGGCAATACACTGAAGAAGAGTTCTAACAAAGGGAACGCCGTGGGTTAATCAGCAGTGAGCTAGCGCGGTGTCCTAGATAGGAGTCCGGCCACAAAGGTTTGGGTGCCCGCAGGCTGCCAGGCACCAGGGACACATCACAGCCTCTGCCCTCGCGGCACTTAGAGACCAGAGAGTAAGTGGACATGCAGTAAATAACCATTAAATCGCTTTAGCTGTGTCACCGTTTGGGAATACATAATGCATAGCTGAGAGCAGAGCAGTGGGCTGCCAGAGGCTGGAGTCAGGTGGTGTGAAAGCTGTCCGCACACTGACCCCGATTCAGTGTGCCATCTTGAGCAGTGCCTTCCCCTCCTCCCTGGCGCTCAGTTTTATCAGCAGGAAAATAAGGGATTTGGCTTTGATGACCTCGAAGCTTGTTCCCAAGTCTGAGTGTCTGTGGTAAGGGTTAAACGCATCTCAATCATAAACCCCCACCAGGAAAATAAATAAAATCCTTTTCTCTGAAAAAGATCCCTATAATCCCCTTTATAATCTCCTGGACTGTCTGCTGAGCCCTAAGGATTAGATATACAAGCCCGTCAGTTGTGTCTGGGATGTGTCTGGGCGAGTATCTAAGTAAGGCCACTTCCGCTTCGTGGGGGACCTTGCCTGGCGTGGCGGTTAAGAAGGTGAATTCTAGAGTTGGGCTGTCCTGAATCAGCTTACTGTATGACCTTGGGCGAGACACCTAATCTTCCGGGACCGCAGTTTCCTCATCTCGAACACAGAGGTCACTGGGAAGATAATGGTAGTCCACAGATAATGTGTGGAGCGGATGCAGGGAGATGATGGATGTAGGCAGAACGTAAGGAGCACTGCGTGAATAGGAACGATCATCACTGTTACAGGAAACAAGCTCAGAGCCCCTCGAGTGGTGTGGTAAACTGGCGGCAGGCACTGGAGGGACCCTGGGATCTTAGAGGAGTTCGCACAGGAGCGTCAGTAAAGGAACAGAGCTACTTTACCTTGACCACAGAAAGAAAGACCCTAGACTCGCAGTCAAGGGGTCTGACATCCAATTACACCGACTCACCGGGTGACTGGCCAGGTCAGCCCATCGCGCTGGATTTCAATTAAGTTGGGACTAGTTTCATCTCAACTTGAAACTGAGACCAGGGAGGTCACATCAGTGGCACTGCTTGGAAGGTAGGATGAGCTGCGTCCGTGTGAGCTCCTGCTCTGACAGCTGCACTCAGAGCAGAGGGGACGGAGGGTGCGGGCTCCCTTCCTGAGGTTCTGAAGACAGGGGCCCCGCGGGGTCAGGACGGCTCGGCAGCGCCAGTTGCAGGGCAATGGGAGGAAGTGCAGGCTTGGTGGCAGTATTACAGCACTCTTCCTTTTAATTTT